TTCTGTCATATTATTTTTACTAACTCGTGTGCAACCCGCACTAACTTGTGGGTTCTTGGTCATTTTGAAATTACAAATTTGTCTGACACACTGATAATTTTGAATGGCACAAATACAATTATATGCATACCCTTACCAAAATCAAGTATACTGAAAGTATACCCAAGGTACGCTCTGCATGTGTAAGTTAGATATACTTAATGTGTACCAGAAATGAAACAACTGGTATACTTTAAGTAGTCCAGAATTGGGCACATTGATGGGTATACTTTGGGTATACCTCTTTGGAAGAAGTATACCCTAGGTGTATCTATTTCTGGAAAGTATATCCTGAGTACATTTATTTCCGAAGAGTATACCTTTGATAAACCTCACAAAACAAACAGACAAAAGAACTCAACAGGTATACTCAAATCGACTGTCCACATGCAAAGTTGGAAATATATATGGTATACCTGAAATATACCAATTTTAAACCTTGCATGATAGCTGTGCTCAAAGGTATACGTAAAGTGTACCACTTCAACTTTAGTATTGGAAGGTACATTTTAAGTATATTTATCCAGAAGCAAATTTTCAAATAAATAGTATTTTGGTCTACCTGAAGTATACCAAAATCAATTTGGTATACTTATAGTATACCTTTGGTATGCGTAAGGTATACCAGAACAGTTTTTTATTTGGTAAGGGATAGCATATGTGCTTTTGTCTAATAGAGCATAATATGGTGTATATGTTTTCTATAATCTCTATTTGGTACATCTGTAACTTTACTTTCAATTTTATTTGCAATTGCATTTCATTCTAAACATAATTGAAGGAAACAGAAACGAGGAATCAGGACAAGAAAGTACAAGACCTTCAAATCCCAGAAGATACATTAAGGCAGAGGGATATCCACATTAATCCCTCGTGTTCTCAACATCCAGACAAATCCTGGTGTTGGTCTGCACAGAGTCCTGCCGAATTTAATCACTTCCAGTTCAGGTTCTGTACAGTTTGGTGGGGATTGTGGGCTGGCCTTTTCAAGGTCCAGCATGGGTTTCTAGTCAATTTATATGGGAACCTGGTGAGGTTTCTGTCAAAGTCTGTGCATATTACTAAATATAAATAGTAGAGTTATACACTGCCTGAAACACAACATTTGCTTACTTCCAATTAAAATGTCATTCGTTTTTTTGGCAAAAAACTGTTGAACCACTAGCTAATTTGCCTATTTTCTAACACTTGGAGAAATATTTGTTTTTATTTAAATATTATAGAAAACCAAAAAGATGCTGGATGTGATGCTTTGTGCAGCTGTGAATAAGGGTGATGCTGCTTCAGTTAAACATTTGTTGGATCAGGGTGCACGATCTAATTGCAAAGATGGAGTAAGTATTATCAACATAGCATACACAGATGGTTGGATAGACGGATAGTGAACAAATAGAGATGTCATGAACCCACACGACTCACCCATGCTTGAATAAAACACCGACAGACAGACAATAATTGACAAACCAGCTGACGAGTATATTTAATCAAATGATATGGAAACAGACTGGCATTATTTAATGTAACTATATGAGCATGCGCTAGGAAATATTATTTTACTGAACAGTGAATTACTGATTTAATCTAACAGTTCTACCATTAGTATGTGCATGCAAAGTACACAATAAGGAGGAATTGTTTTCTGACAACATGGTATTAAAGAAAATAACACTTTCATCATTTGAATCTTTTTCTTTTACAGAAACAAAATACCCCACTAATGCTTGCTTGTGAAGGTGGATATACTGAGATTGGCAAACTTCTACTTGAAAACAATGCTGGTACAGGGGCCAGAAACCAGGTGTTTATTTATTAATAATTACTATAATAATACATTTGGTTATTTTGAAAATATTGTTCTTACGACATAGTAATAACGATACTAATAATGATAATTTGTATTGCATCCTTAGAAAGATTGTATTGATTGAAATGTTTTTTGTTTATTATCTATTTGTTTAAGAATATTTTCCTTAATTTTGTCTCGATAATTGTTGTAGAGATGACAATTCATGAAGAAATGTAACTCATCTTCAGTTTCATTTTGGGAACAATTTATGCAAGTTATATTTGAGTTTTGGATTGAGTGTGTCTACCTGTTTCAATAGCAAGGTTATGGTTACTGGTTCTAAATTTACATAAAATGATTCTTTCTTTGAGGGGAAGTACAGATAAATATAGTTCACAAGTATAAGTATGAGTATATTTAAACATTACATATGTTCTAAGCTTTGTTTTTTTCTTTAAGGCATTCTTTCCAGAATTCAATGTAATCCTTTTTTTATCACATTCATAATTTGTTTTCAATCCTGTGTTAAATTACCTCCCATTACAGATTTCTTTAATTTCAGAATTGAAATACCCCATGATAAGTTTGACTTCATCTGTTCTTAAAATGCTAGTTTTGTTAGACTATTTTCTGGACGATCTATAATTCTAAACCATTAATTAATAAGATTTATTTTAATATAAAAATGTAATAGAAATTCTCCCAGCTATGCTCGACATGTAATATTTGTTGGAAATTTGTTTAGATTTACCGTACTCGACCGCGTTAGCGCCCATGCCCGGGCAAGCGCCCACCCCCACTTTTGCGCAATTTTTATATTTGGAGTCACATTCGGCAAAGCGCCCACCCCTTCAAAATGCAACTAATTTAAAACTTGGTCTTGCGTATCGAATCTTGGTAATCGTTTTTATATGATACAGCATGGATATCGATCGCTGTGAACATGTAGTGAATGCGTAGAAAACGGTAACCGTGCGTAAACTACGCTTCGACAATGACCTGTTAATACAAGTAAAATGCGATAAATATTTCATGCCACATTCAGTTTACCTCTCAAAAATGGCTAGTTACTAGTTTTTTGGAAAAACATGTCGTTTATTCGCTGAAATCAATTCCAACAGATCGTACTGCGACATAGATTATTCACTTCCGCATAGCGTTACCGGAAAGTCTTCGGGAATTTCCGAAGAATTCCATCAGTACAACACTGCATTCTGATTAGTTAATAACCAACTTGACCCATTAGGTCAAAGGACGCTGCTGTAGGTCAAATCTGCAATTGCCTCATGGCGGAAAGTGATTTTCGTCGAGAGTTTGTGTACGATCGAACAACTTCGTCAGTGGAAATAATATGACAATTTTGACTTCGACTGTGTTCCAACAGACTCAAATGTTTTTAATTCCGTAAATTATGGTGGTACGTAATTAATATTGTGATAAAATGTGCGTATTTTTTGTGATCATTTCTGTATCTTCATTGTGAAAATCAATGACGACGCAACTAATTTAGTAATTTGATTTTCCCTCAAAGACGTAATCTGTCACTAGATGAATAAAAATTTTCATTTGCACTTTTCTTCGTGATTTTCTGAGTTGAGGCCCCTGGGCGCTAACGCGGTCGAGTACGGTAATAGTTGTTTGCAAAATTTTAAATGAACATTTTCTGTTGATGTTTCATTCCATTTATTGCTATCTTGATTTCCATTCCCTAAATTTCTGCACCATATAATGACTTGAAAATATGAATAGCTGTTTTGTAGTCAGTTTCTTTTTGAAAGTATTTTGACATAGCATATAAAGCTCTGAGTGCTTTATCTGACATTTTTCCTTGCTTCATTGAATTTGCCATTTGCCTGTATTTAATTTAACATTGTTGTTATCTAGTTTAACAGGATCAGTAGATTACAGGATCAGATCGTTTACAAAAATATTGAAAACGCTTGGACTCATGATACAACCTTAATTCACCCCTTTAATTGTTTGAAACAAGGGTGATATTTTTTCGGCCAATACGTATACATAATGTTGTATTAAGTAAGGTACATGTTTTTTTTTATAATTTTATAAAGATTTCCATTAATCCCATGTTTGAGCAGTATATAAAACAATCCCTGTCTCCATACCATATCAAAGGCTTTTTGAAAGTCTTCAAAGTAGGTGTACAGTTTTCCATTTTTCTTAAGATACTGTACAATGTTTTTTAAAACAAAAATGTGATCAGTTGTACAATATTTTTTTCGAAAGCATGCTTGCTTATTGTAAATTATATTATTTTCCTCTGTGAAATATTTGAGTCTATTATTTATGATAATGCAGAAAGTTCTGTCAATGCAGCTAGATACAGAAATGCCTCTGTAATTCCCTGGCACAGCCCTATCACCTTTTTTTTATAGATATAAATTATAGAGATAATAACACTAATATTCCAAATATCAGAATATTCTTCTGTATTTAGAATCAAATTAAATAATTTACATATTGATTTAATCAAGTAATCTGAACCATAATTCAATAATTCTGAACAATAACCATCATAATCTGCAGCTTTCTTACATTTAAGTTTTTTAATTGTATCTTTATTTTTTTTCACTTGCTTTGATCATTTAATGTTTGGTTCAGATTTTTATTATTTTCTAGAATTTTGATTTCATTTATTATGTCATTTTGAAAATCATTCATCTTGTCATTACTGTTTAACTTTTTTTGATATTCAACCCATTTTATGGTGCGTTTGGATTATTCTGATCCTTATTTCAGTCCCTAAAATAAATTGTTAATGATTTTACGGAATTCCGTAGGGTTGTTATTATTAGGTTGTTTTAATTTGTTAATGATTATATTTTCTTCTTGTTTTCTTTTGCATCAAACTATTTTTTTGAATTTCTTTTTCTTGTAAAGTTTATCATATGAAAAGTACTAATTGAAATAAAAATTACTTTTCAGGTTAACAAATCATCGCTACATCTAGCCGCTCAGAACGGAAATTTAGAAATGGTTAAACTACTTTTACCATCGAGAAACTGGAACTCAAAAGATAAAGTAAGATTTATTCACATACAGAATAAAAGATATAATTTCTTTCTTCATCCACAGTCATTTCATCTATTACCATGATGCAAATACACACTATTTATCCTGCTTTGCTGAACACTCGATCGTGAAAACAATTTCTCACAAAAGCAAATTAGCATTTCAAGTCTGTTCTGGTGCCTTTGCGAGATATATGGGTCTCATATAAACAAATATGGCGACTTTGACTGTTGCGCAGAACAACGAGTACAAACTGAGACGTTTTCAAGCTTTAATTAGGTAATTTGCATGTGATTGGAAGGTATCGAGGGAGTCACCGACGGTAATCAGTGCAAATTGCGCCCAGGTCAAACCCCATATTTGTGATTTCCATTTGAAAAGCGCATTGGATTGTGGGAAAATCAATGTTTATCAATACAAATGTCGCACATGTGCAGTGTGATGACTGCCACGCTTTAATACAGTCCTATTAACAAATACTGCATATTCGTTAAAATCACACATTTCTGGACTAACTGGAGGAGAGAAAAAAAAAACCAAAGTACTCAAACATGGGCAAAACAAAAAAAATACTTGCACAACAATTTTGCATGTTTAACCACAGTGTATAAAAATTACAAATTTGAAATGATCTCCATAAACTGGAAAGGCAACTCCAGTGCAACCCAACACTGCCTATGCAATAGAATGACAACATGAAACAGATGACCCAAATAGTTGAAGCTGAAAAAAGATATGTTGCCATCTACGCTTGACACCACTTGCTTAACAAAAGCAACATCTGTAGCAAATTCTTTTTTAATTTGGAAAAAATAAGACGAAAATAAGCAAATAGTTCAAAACAAGATTCGAAATATTATTGTAAACTTGTACCAAAATGTATATACCCCTGTTTCAACTATTTGGGTCAGCTGTTTCTTGTTTCTCATTGATTCATTATTCTGTTTCTAGAGTAGGTCCGCTGAGCTAGATGAATGGTTGTCTGTCTGTCTGTCTGGATGAATAAATAGATGTGGATGACTGCTTCTCAAAATCTGTTTTCTTGTTTTCGGTTGTGTAGCTGCCTTGATGGGTGTAGATGGAAATTTGTTCTTGAGAAGTTGATCCGCCTAAATTTATGCAAATTGGTCATCGAAAATTATGAAAATACTTATTGATTTATACTATGACACTATTTGGTCTACAGTGCTGATATTGATAGTGCACATGTTTGTTATTATTCTCTATTTTTGGGGAAATATTTTTCGTAAAAAATGCTATTTTCTACTTCTTCTTGGGTTGACCTCTGGTAGATGTTTTCATTATGATGATAACTTCAATTATCTATTTTTGGCAAACATTTTTGTCATTTTCAGTTAATAAATTATATTTTGCTTTGATAATTCACTATGTTCAATTACCCACCATAGACTCCGGTCTGTCAAAATGAGTATTTTGAAGCCCTATTACCTGGTTAGCTGTCACCTGTGTGGTAGCTGATGCTGTGGCTGGTAGGATAAGTCTTTCTACTTTTTTTTTTACCCCTGTATCGCCTTTTGTGTGTATTGCTTACAAGAAAGGCAAAACACAGTGACGCAAATTTGACCATGTCACTGCATTTCTTTGTGTCAGCTTTTAACTGTAATTCATTTCTCTCATGCATGTCATGTTCATTTTTACCAATGTGTTTTTAGAAATGGATAGGAAGAAATGGTAACACGCCAAAGACTCCTCACCTCTTTTTTGTTCGCCCCTAGGATCGGGGCAGTCGTATGGTAGTTGCCACCAGGAATTACCAGCTTGGAACCCACATAGCAAATGCTATTTGTGTTTTGACTGTGTGCGGGGCTCAAGGTTTTGCCTGACTGTGTCACTCGGGTTCACTGCAGTTGCACGTGCAGTAATGTGAGCGTGAGTGAGTGGAGTGTAGCATGAGCGATTAGTCCACCCACTTGTCTACCAATGTCTTAAGTACCACGGCAATGAGTGAGAGACCTGACAGTGGAGGTCTCGTGATATCTCGGTCCCCCTACAGATCAGAGGGCTTCCTTGCATTCTGCTTTTGCAGGTGGCGTTTTGCTCAATCATACCGGCAACAGCGAGGCTGTGCCCCCGGAGGCTTTTACTTCTATCGGGTCTGTGGGTCTGTGCTCGCATGGTGCCGGGTTTGCCAACAAGGTTCAGGCTTTGTTTGAGGACCTGCCGAACCCAGTGACAAGGAATTAATTTTTTTCTGAGTCCTGCCTCTACTAGGGCCATTCCTCTTTTGGGGACCCGCAGACCCTCCCAGAGGAGTCCTGTCCGGTCATCAGAGGTATATCTGATTCGGCGACCCCTCAGAGGTAATGTAGGGAACAGCGATCCTAGTGACCCGATGTTCAACCACCACCCTCGATCCTGAAGCAGTTACTCTCGGTAGTGCAAAGCAACCCCTAGTCTGGCAGAGTGCTTGATGCAGTGGGAATGCTCAGACGTTGTTGATGGGCGGACTAGAGGTCTAAATTCCCAGGGTGGGCAATGTCATGCTTAACCCTTTCCGCTGGACCAAGCATTACCTGATCAAGCGGAGTCTGGAGCCAAATATCATGCCCTGACCAGATCCCTCGGTTCCTCCCCCAACCCTGGTACCACAAATTGTTGGTTCGGTATGACGGGCAAAGGAGGATGGCCACGTTCATGGAATATTTCGACAGTTTTAGTCAGAAACGATCCACACCCTGAGAGCAGAGTGGTGACCCTCAACTTTTGAGTTTGTGGCCGGCCCACTGGAACACATTGTTTTGCGCCCCCAGCACTCTGAAGGCTCAAAACCGAAACGCACCAGCCTCCTAGACCAGCATACACAGCCATTGATGGGAAACCACATGGCTATGTGGGATATCCAGCAGTGTCATCTGGCTCTCATGGCAGGGGCTGCCTCTGCACAGTGGGATGTGGTTTTGGCTGTTTTCACTGAGCGCTCCACCGCCTCAGTTACGCAGACTGGACCTCTCCCACCCTCTTTCCTTTGAGGATGGAAGGAGCAATTCTGGTGCTTCGGGATACCACCGACCAGTTGGTACAGGTGAGACCAGCAGGAGAGTTTGGCTTCTGCCAAGGGCAAGTGGAAAGGACCACAAGCTAAGAAAACGTAACGATCTAAGTTGGCACCCATTGGCCAGAAGTAGCCAGGAGGCAAGCATCCTGGCCCCCCAGAAAGAAGGGACCAGGTGGTGGTCCTCCTCTTCCTCGGGTGGTCACCCACCAAGCTCGCAGGGGAAGCAAGTTTGACACTTTTGCTTGCGACAAGGGGCATGGGCATGTGTTTGGGAGGAGGCAGAGTCTGAACCTGACTTTCACAGGCCTTGTGAGGTCTCACCTCGGTGGAGGAGAGATAACCCATGATGTAGAACCGTCGAACCCACATATCTCTGTTGCATAGATTGTGCTGGTGTATTCCAGCTCGGAAGCAGCTCATAACCGACCCCTGAACTCTCCAGGTGGTGACAAGATCCCGCTGCAATCTACACCCCGCTAAATGCCCCCCATTCAGGGCGCTACTCGAGGATCCTCGCAAAGCGGAAGCAATCTGACAGGAGGTAGACAGTTTGCTTACAAACGGCGCTATACACAGGATAGAGGACACGGCATTAAGTCTGGGCTTCTACTCGCAAGTGTTGGTGGTTCCAAAGACTGCTTCCAGTTCTTGACTTAAGCAGACTAAATGAGCATGTGCTTTGTTGCAGCACCAGGCTCACCTACAGAACCGGAGAGGCGAGTAACACTCGCGTACCTAACGAGGAATACCTTGCCCTGGTGGTCGGCAATTGCCAACCTCAGACAAGGGGTTCATCCTGGATCGACTCGCCACAGCTTCACAGGTTGGGGAGCGCACCTATAGGAGTAGCCTCCGGACTATTTTGGTGGTGGGACAGTCCAAAGCTAGACCTATTCACCACACCCTGGAATGCCAAGCTTCTGATATACATGCCGTCTCCAGGAGCCTGGGCCAGAGACGATTTGTCGATCCCATAGGCCCACATGGATGTGTACGCCTTTCTTTTCTTCACTGGCTTCTGAAGGAACTCAAATACAGTTAATTTTGAATAAATTGTTAATGTATCTCCAATTCCCTCATCAGCACACATGAGTTCTATCTAACCTTTCTTTCATTTTTCTTTGAGTTAAATCAGTGCAAATTAGTTTTTTTATAATACTAACCTTCCGAGTTTTGAATGGTCAATCCTTAATTTCAGAAATCACTCTTTTACATCAAACAGTCAAATACATTTTTTTTCAATATTAATTTTAAGTGATATATTAAATATTAACACCTGACCATCAAGATTACAAGAACGAAATACATATTGGATTTGTCAGCATGCATCAACTTCCACAATTTATTTTCAACTGCATTTATCAAATGCATGTGTATGATTTTTGATGAAACTGAATGCAAATATGCTCTGAGTTAATGTGCAGATTAGATTTGGTTTGGGGTTAAATGCATATTAATTACCCAATTTGCATGATACAATTAGCTAATTTTAGCTGTTCCACTGATATCTAAAAAAATATTCATTGGATATTTATCAAACTTGGTACATAGATGCTCTGGGATAATGCACAGATCTGATTAGTTTTGTGTCAAAATCCATGCATATTAATTATCTAATTTGCATAGTGATTAGTCAATTTTCTTCTTTTCCACTGATATCTCATTTACTAATCATCATATTTACTACAATATATATATATATATATATATATATATATATATATATATAGGTACTACACGTGGTCCCCCCTCAGATTTGTTCATTTTGTGATGATATCTTTTATTCTCTAATTTTAGTGAATACTTTTTAAATTTTTGGTAAAAAGTGATATTTTTGGCTTCTTGTTGAAAACCACAAGTCCAATTGCTTTGATATTACATATATAGGTACTACATGTGGATCTCTTTAAGATTTGTTCATTTTGTAATGATATCTTTAATTCTCTAATTTTGGTGAATATTTTTGTCATTTTTGGTAAAAAGTGATATTTTTGACTTCTTGTTAAAAACTGCAAGTCCAATTGCTTTGATATTACATATGCAGGTACTACATGTGGTCCTCTCTCAGATTTGTTCATTTTGTGATGATATTATTTATTCTCTAATTTTAGTGAATATTTTTTTAATTTTTGGTAAAAAGTGATATTTTTGACTTCTTGTTGAAAACCGCAAGTCTGATTGCTTTTATATTACATATATAGGTACTACATGAGGACCTCTTTCAGATTTGTTAATTTCGTGGTGATATCTTCAATTATCTAATTTTGGGTGATTATTTTTTGGTGAAAAGTGATATTTTTGAAATCTTGTTGAAACAGTAAGTCCTGCTGCTTTACATATACATTTTCTAACGATATCTTCTGTTCTTTAGTTGCAAAGTGCATTGCTAACAGCGGAGCTATCTCAGCTGACAGACTGCTTGTTCAATGAATCTTGCCAAGTAAATAGTGTTTTTTGTTGGACTGTGTAAAGTGAATTATAAGCAGATTATTAATTGAATAGACACACCACACCACACTACATTACATGACATCACACAATGCCATTCGTAGTCACAGCATTTGATCAGTGCATTGTGCATTATGTATAAATTCAATTTGTGTATCTGTGATTTTTATAGTTTGGGAAGACACCACTTGACTATGCGAAAGCTAATAATCATACAGATATCATGAAAGAACTAACAAAATCAAAGAAACATCTTGCTGCAAAGATTCGAAGATCCAAGGTTCGTGAATAGAACATTAAATAATGCTACTATCTATTAAAGCAAAAGTGTATTGCTTATATTATTGTACCGTATTTATCTGGGTATTAAAAGCCCATGCCCTGGCAAACGTCCACCCCCAATTGTGATACAATAAAGAAATTGAGGTCGTAACCTGGCATACATCCATGGGTATCGTTTTCTACACTTGTAATAGAAAAATAACAGAAACCTGTACGGTAATAACTTAGAAATAAAGTACACATACATAAAATGTACGAGTGTGAGTACATGCATACAAGAGCGTACTTGCATAACAATGACTGTGCAGCAATCTAAGTTGATGCCCTTAGACACCTGCTCGGATATTTTTATTTGTGCATGCACATAGCAATGAAACATGTTTAATGGTGTGTCAAGTTATTAGTTTAATTGTCTTAATACTTCAGATTTTGGAGCAACTTCAAAGAGCGCTGATTAGTGGGGCAAAGAAAAAAGTATACAGAGGACGTGTTATGCTCATTGGACCATGGGGCGCAGGGAAAACGTCCATCATGAATAGTCTGCTCAATGAAGATTGCGAGGTTAAACATACAACCACAGATCCATTTGAGACCTTTCACATTGATATCACAGAATGGATAATCAGAGGTAGTAGTTGTACATATTTATATAATGGCTTGGATGTAAATGGTCAAATTATATGCATGTTAATTAAAATAAAAAAGATTTCTAATTTACCTAATTAATATGTTATAATGTTTAAAAAGCTTGGATATTAAATTTCATAGTTTGCAAGGAAGTTGCATATTATACTGTTCACTGCAATTATATGCTTACCTTCTTCAGATTAATTAAAGGAAACATAAATCCAAACAACATAATGACCTC